GTAACTCTGCAACCAGAGCAGCTGGAGTGCTGAAACTTTCTGAGCGCTACTCAGGACCGTGTTTGAGCAACTGCGGGCGAAGAAAACATTCACGTTGCCACTTACATACGAACACGTGAAATTTGACGTAACTCTGCAACCGAAGCATCCAGAGCGCAGGATTTTGTAGACAAAGATTGGGAGTCATTGTAATAATTTCCAACAGCCGTGGTGGCCAGTCCCAATTCTTTTAGCTAGAAACATCTGCCAGGAAGAACGTGCCACTGGCGAAAAAAACCTGCGAGGGAAACTGTGCAAAAAACGCATCCTCGTATCGGCAGCCGGTATGCTTTCTCCGAAGTTGGTGCTTCGAACAGTTCTTGTTTCATTATCGCGTTTCTACTCGCCGCTCGTACAACTCTCAACTTCTCTGTCCTTCTCTGTTTTGGACTTTTTTCATCTGCATAGCTCCATGCAGCTGTTCAGGTTTATCCTCCAAGCCAACTTATTTCTACGGACATATGTACATGTAAACTTCGATATAGGCTGGAAATTTGCACAAATAATTCAGAAACAATAGTGGCGTCAGACTGTCAAGCCTCGATTTCAAAAATTAGGCCGTTAGCTGCTTTTAATTTTTTATCATATTTCCTTCTTTTAGCTTAAAACAGACTGCCATGCGTGTCCACTCTGCGCTGTAAGATACAATCAACAAATCTGAGGTAACAATAACCTGTAATAAAAGTAATATGCTACTCGCTACGCACGAGGTAACAACTCAGTTTTATCATTTTTGTTCTACACCGCTTGTTACCTATTTTGCCAAAAAATTCTGGAACTTTCTTCAGAATTTCTGCTTTAAATACTGCTTCTTTCGATCTTTTAACTTTTGTATACGTACACATATGCACAAGCGTACGTGAGTGCCATGCTTGTATTTGTGAATCTGCGTGTAGGTACATGTGTTTGTGTATGCATGTAAGTATGTATGTGTATTTATAAGTGTGCGTTTTTGTGTTGGCGCAAATGTCTTAGCGTTGTCAGGAAGTGCATTACGCATCGGTTGTTCGTAGGCGTGTACACTGTGCAGGTGAGTGCGAATGAACGCCAGTAAGCAGTGTAATGTGGCTGGAAGAGGAACAGATGAATGTTTCCTTTCCCTACTGATCTTGGATTGAAGTGAAGGTTGCTGCTGTTGCTGCTTCTGCTTTTGCTTCAGCTCACATTCGACTACTTTAAAATTGCAGCTGATGTTTATGAGGTACCAGTGGTATCTCGATTCCAAAAAAGCTATATCGGGATTTTGAATCAGTTTGCTTAAGTTTTTGTTTTCCCCGCGAAACTTTTTACAACTAATTTTGCATTCCTTCCGCTGAATTTTTCATTTCCGTCTGGTGTAGTCTTACTCCCTCTGGCCGAATTTTTCGCTTTTTTTTTGAACATTTGAACATTCGCACACGAACAGTTTTGAACATTCGCAACCCATGTTAATGACAATTGAACCGCTGTCACCTTGCATTTCTGATATGTTGATTGTTTTAAACTACTGATATCCACTGCATTTAATTTCTCTAGAAAGCTTCTTTTTTCTATGACCCCTCACCTTCGGCGTGGCACTCATGCAAGATTAATTTATCGACTGTAACCAAATTAAACCAGAATTTTATTTTTTAATTTCTTTAAAATTCCTCAGACCTTGCGCAAGTTTTCGCAAAACTGGCACTACGCCGCCTAGCACACGTGATGTAGCGTCACCCTACAGTAGCTTGTTCGTAGCGTTGCGGAGCTCGCAGTTCAAATAAGTCCTCGGACCACACGCGAGCTACTAATGGGAAAGTTTTCGGCTGAGTGAAGTAGATTACTATTTTGACCAAAGTAAATTCTTTTTTCATTGTTCAACCAATAACCAGCAGTTACAGGACAGAGATTCAATTTAACTCTTTGTGGCTGAAAAAAAATTTCCGACGGCGCCTGCAGACCACTGAAAAAAAAGAAACGAGCCATATTATTTTGTGATACTGCTTTGCCGATATTCAGTACTGGCCGATCCGCAAGCGCAAGGTGACACCGGAGGGAAAGTCCGCGTGCATGTTGCTTGCTGTATGACTCGGCGGCCTACTGAACGCATCGTGGTTTGGTTGTGCCAGAAGTCTGTTAAGAGTGTTAGCTGTTGGTTGTTCACCGCAGTACAGCCACTAGTTTTTATCATTAGTTCCTGAACGGAGAGAAAGACAGCGATGACCTCCAATTTCAGGATCTTTTTTCATGGATTCAGGGGCGTCGTTTCGCAGCGCAAATTGCTCCTATTCGTCGATGCAGCCTGCATAATTATTCGGTGGTCTAAAAATGAATGAAAATGGCAACGGGCAGTGTGCGCAGATCTGCCTCCTGCTTTTCAACGCAGCATTCTGGGTTACATTTTTTTCGTCCCTGATAATGCACGTATGCGAGTAGCTTGAAAAATCTGAAACCATAGATAAGTTAAATTTGCGCGAGTTGCCGGATGAAAAATTCCTGCAAAAAAACCGAGAGGTTCAGATGAGCGGCTTTTGAGCACTTGGCCTGATGAGGAACAACTGGCAGCACAACACATTGGCCGATCCGGAGAAAGGAAAGTGAGTAGCTTGATCTTTTCCTGGGTGCTACTAATGATTTGCAAAAGAGGATGGTCTTCGTGACAGAGCTTTGCTTTGTGTCTAAAAATTACCATCAGAATAAGCCAGTAGGGGTTTTTTGGCAAGTATTTTTTAAGCTCACTGGGCTGGCACTGATATTTTTGTCGCTATGGATGCAGCTGGATCCGCGTCGTAACTATGTGCTTGATTTGGTCGATTTCTCAGAAGACGACCCGTTACTTCGTGGCGCCACTTATTTGGCCCTTATCACTGGAGCTGTAACACTAATTGTTGGTTTCATTGGCTGTTGTGGTGCAATCAAAAAATCACTATGCATGATTGTTACTGTTCGTTTTCCATTTCTTCCACTAAATTTAATAACTAGATTACATATGCATTTGTATTTCGAAAAAAAAAAAACTCTTTGTTCTCCAAAACGAAGCCATATTTTTTAGTTAAATGCAATCATTATTTTTTTTTTTTTTGGGTTAAGAAGGATGCGCAAGTGAAAGTTAGTCAGCTAATTCAGAAAACTTATTTGGTGTTGCATATTCCTGAAAATGCTGCATTTCTGTTCTGGGATTTTCGTATTCTTGGAATTTACCCTTCAACTGAAAATTTTTTTTTACAGTTCGTGATCTGTTTATTGATCATATTTTTTGCGGATGTGACAATCGCCTGCTTCGCATTATTCTATCGCAACAAGGTGAGTCTGTGTGCAGTCGCAATCCCGATTTTTGTTTTACGAACGTGTTTCTGTTACAGTTTATTGGCAGTAAGCTGAGTGCCTATCTAACAATGCTAACACATGATCGCTATCATCGTGTGTATTGGGTCACACCGCTCATCGATACAATCCAGTATTATGTAACTTTTTTTCTGTTTTCATTAACAGCACATCGATGGCTTAGCAGATATGATAATGCTCTGAGTGCTGATACCACCGATCGGAGGCAGGACTGTCTTTCGATTCCTGTGTTGCGTGCCCATTGTTGTCTTTTGAACTGATTTGAATTATTTCTGCTGTAAATGTTGTAAAAGCTTGAATATTAATAAACCAGCCAGGAACGATGTACCTCGAACTAAGTAACGACTGACCACTCATTTTCCACTTTCCTACCGATATTGGATTTAAGTAGATACACGCGTCTAACTGAATTTTTATGTTTGTTTACCTGTTTTTAGTAACTTTACCTCGAGTGTAGTAAATTTAATCGACCTGGATCTTTTCGGATCTAAGCTTTCTTGCAGTGCGGGTAAAGCGAGTTAGTTTTGTCAAGTCAGAAAAGTGCGCAGATTTTCAACACTGCTTTTAAAAAATAGCTATTTTAACATTGTTGGAAATGCTTGCGGATACACACAGTTTGGTGTAAAGCAAAAATTGCTTGGCTTTTTTGGACGTCGGGTCACATCCAGCTTTTTATGCACACTATTAATGCCATCTTCTTTCGTTTTATTTTTCAGGCATGTAAGCTAGCAAAACATGAGCCAAATACTCGGATTTTATCACTACTCCTGATGCAATATACATAAGCCATAGCTTCTTGCTACTTTCCCTGCAGAGGGTTTCTTTTTTGGCTAGTTCATCCAAAGTTGAGCTTTTTCACCCATTTTGCATAAGTATCTTTGCTCACTTCACTAATATTTATCCTAGCGTTTTCCATTTTTATGTTATGTTGCAAACTTGTGAGAAAATATGCTTTTTTTTTGGCTTGCAGTAGGACGAGATCAAAGCGAGCAGCAAGGAGACTCCTTAGCTAAAATTGCTTTACAAACTGCTAAACACTATGAAACTTCTAAAGCCGTAAAGTACTATGTTTGCCTCATTCAGCTTCCTCTTCATTTATTTTCTGTGCGCAGGAGCTCTCCGTCATCATTGTTGCTCTGAGAAAGAGGTCGAAATGATTCAGAAGTCTGTAACTCATGCAGTCCTCAGTAGTTCCAATGAAAGCAGAGTTATTTCCTCGAAATGCCGTTCTTGTTTTGTCAGTATCAGGAAAGCAAATTACGTTCCACTGCTATCAGCTTAACAGTTGTCAGAATTTAGGAAATTGGTTTGAAGCATTTGCGATTATTTTGTTGAAACTTGTTTTCCTGCCGTGTGCTCAAATTATTTATTAATATTACCTTG